TCTCTCTCCTCTTCTCTCCTTCCCCTCTCTCTTCTCTCTCCTCTTCTCTCCTTCCCCTCTCTCTTCTCTCCTTCCCCTCTCTCTTCTCTCTCCTCTTCTCTCCTTCCCCTCTCTCTTCTCTTCTCTCCTTCCCCTCTCTCTTCTCTCTCCTCTTCTCTCCTTCCCCTCTCTCTTCTCTCTCCTCTTCTCTCCTTCCCCTCTCTCTTCTCTTCTCTCCTTCCCCTCTCTCTTCTCTTCTCTCCTTCCCCCCTCTCTTCTAGACATGTACGATTCGTTTTCGTTACGAATCGAAATGCGTAGGAATTTTCCTGAAATTCGGAAGCATACGAAATCCGAATTGCAGTTTCCGAATTATATCCGAAATACGAAATTCCGTTAACGAATTTCGGATCCGAATTTCTTTGAAACGGGAACTAATATTACCCCTGTAAATGAGGTTGAACAACATGACAAGATTTGTTTTTTATACGAAATACGAATCCGCTGCTGCTGAGAGTCGCATTACAATACACAGGCAGGAAATACGAAATTCCGTTGACGTATTTTCGTTCCGTTACGAACATTCGTTATATTGAAGGTAAAAAGCAAAATACATTTATATCGGAGTTGATGGTTTTTTTAAACTCCGAAATACGGAATTCGTATTTCGGATAAAAAAACAACGACCACATCGACTCCGATATAAATGTACTTTGCTTTTTAACTTCATCATAACGAATGTTCGTAAAGTTAGGGAAATGTGCCGAAACTAACGAAAATCCGTATTTCGTACGAATCCGAATTGAGTTTCAGACACGAAATATGAAATAACGGATATAACGAAACGGAACGAATTTTTTGACGGCGCACAAGTCTATTCTCTTCTCTCTCTCTCCATAGATAAGATTTAGGTGCACGCGCAGTCAGAATGATGATGATGATTACAAAGCATATAAAGTAAAGAGCTAGTTAATAAACTTCATGAATTGTTGTTAAGCTGCAACTGAGTTTGTGTATGTGTGTCTGTATGTATGTATATGTAGTGTGTATATATATGTCTGTGTGTGTATGTATGTGTGTGTGTATGTATGTGTGTGTATATGTGTGTGTGTATATGTGTGTGTGTGTGTGTGTATATATGTGTGTGTATATATGTGTGTGTGTGTATATATGTGTGTGTGTATATGTGTGTGTGTGTATATATGTGTGTGTGTATGTGTGTGTGTGTCAGTTTACAATCCTCGCATGATCATACTAAACAGAAGGGCGATTCTCTTATACTACAACAACAACCCGTCTCGGAGAGTCTCCACGGAGTCCCATGTTCATACTCAGTATGTGTATTTGTTGTGTAATCTTTCCCTGGCAGACATCATTGGGTTGCTGGTAACACAAAAGGGGGGCCAATCATATTGAAAGCTTAGGCAAGCTCACACAGTTGTTGCCCGGCTGCCCGTAATACCCCCTGCCGGATCCTTCCGGGGTGACCGGATCCCACAACGTAGGAACCACGCTTCCAGTCTCTGTACATTGTGTGCAATTGCTTGACAATCTTACTGAGAGTCTGGTCAGAGGAGGCCGGGTCACCACAACAGAGGCTGCAGTCTGTATAAATGGTGACTGTCCCTTTATTCTATTCCACCATCCAAAGCGGGTAACAGACTCGCCCCCGGCCGGAGTGTGATGGATCAACTCCCACAGAACCCCAGGAGAGCCATTTGTATAAGGCTTTGCAATGAAGGCTGCAGTTCCACTACTCTCCACAAGGCGGCGATCTCACCGATACCAGACAGGGTGCGGAGCCTAACCTCTGTCTTATGTCCAGTGGAACGCAGACACAGGAAGTGTCTCTGGAAACCACAGACAGGAAGTTCCGGGTGAGAGGTGAGTTGAGAGGAAGTAGAGAGGAGACATTGCTGGAACTGGCAGCAGAGGAGGTAATAAGATATTATTTTATATATCACTGACATATACCGCAGCGCTGTACAGAGAACACTGAGCTAGTCACATCAGTCTCTGTACAGAGGAGCTTACACTCTAATGTCCCCTCCCCCCCCAGTCACATCAGTCTCTGTACAGAGGATGCAAAGGGCGGAGCCAACCCAATACTGAACCCTACGGACTAAGACTGGGATGCCATTAGAGTTCATGTGCGTGTAAAGGCGTCCCGATACTTTAGGCAATATAGTGTATATATATAGCTCTGACATATACCGCAGTGCTGTAGAGAGAACACTGAGCCAGTCTCTGTACAGAGGGGACATTGATCATAATGTATAAGATGAAATATTGCTCATCTACTATCCATAGAGAAAGGAGAGTCCTCTACAGATCACATGACCACATCCATGAGCATGGAGAAGAAGCGGAGTCACATGACTGAGAGGATATTGGACCTCACCCTGGAGATCATCTACCTGCTGACCGGAGAGGTGAGGAGGATTCTGGGAGGTCACATGACATCACTCTAAGGATTCTGTAGCTCTGAGGAGGATTCCTCCAATACGGAGAATGATTATGTCTCTTGTTAATAGGATTATGAAGTGGTGAAGAAGACATCTAATGAGCATCTGCCACCCAGCAGCCACCTCCATATGCCTTCCTCGCCTCACTCCGTGACAACAGAGAGGAACAAGCAGAACATTCTAGCCGTCATCAACAAGATCTCTGAGCTACTGATGGGAGAGGTGAGCGGTTAGGACTGAGAATGTAAGTAAAATACAAAA